CCCGAGTTATGTGGCTTATTTTTTGCATAATTTAAATTTGAATATTTTAGTTACGGAAAAGATTGTAACTAAAAAGTAATAAGTAAAAATAAAAAATAATAAATAGCAACGCGCACCAGACTAGCCGGTGCGATCATGCGTTTTATGCAATTCAGCCCATCGAACGATTGCCTGTTAGTGATTTTCAGTGCTCCATGCAAAAATAGTTCAAAAATTGGAAAATAGTTAAAAATTTCACGCACCAGCGCATGAAAGCTGAATATGAAACCTTGAAGGATAATATCTTTCCGTGATTCCCGAATTAATAGTTTATCCGCCAAAATTTTCATGAAACCTTGAAGGGTGAATGTCTTTCCATGATTCCCGAGTTAAATTTTCACGAGGCCGTGAGTGATACTCAAGAGCGCGGGAACGCTGAATTTGAATAGGCAAGGTTGAACGTGGTCAGGGGGTCAATACTCTAAAATTTCAGCTTCCTAGACCCCGTGGTTGCCGAGGTATTAGGAAGGCTGAACTTAAATTTGCCGCGTCACCCGTTGGCGGAGAACATTACACCAAAATTTCAGCCGCCTAGCTTTTGTGGTTCCCGAGTTGAAAGTGCGAAACAAAATGTGGGACACACACACACACACATACAGACAACCCCGTGACAGTATGCGTTTTGTGACGCTTTTATACAGTACAAAACGCATAAAAACTGAATTGGAATATTTCGGTCCACTAAATCGCATACATTCCCAGTCAGTACTGCAACTGGACCTAGCCATATTGCTGATGATGAATGGTACTTTTTCAGGCCCAACAGGCACTGATGCGCCAACAGCGTGGTGGCACGACAACAAATGCTAACACTGGCACCTACTTGACCACACATGTTGTGCAGCAGCAGCAGCAGCAGCAACCACAGCAGACCACCACTGTTCTGCCGAATACAACGTTAATCCCGAACAACGGCAGCGTGATCTCGAATGCCACGGTGCTCGCCACGCAGATTCAGCCATCGCAGATCCAGGCAACTCCGATGCAACCCACACAACACCTGCAGCAGCAGCAACCACAAATGCAGCAGCAGACGATGGCTCAAATACCGCAGCAAGTCCAGGTATCTGTCTCTCCCGGATATTCATGTTTTTTTTGAAAAAATACATTTTTTTACATTTTTTCACGTTTTTTTTTTTTTAAAATACATTTTTTTTTAAAAAAATACACCCTTCCATAGATGAGGAGGCATAACCTGTGTTAGGATCACATTGTTGCAATATTTCTACGCCGGATCGCATTGAACTCCCTGATTCTTGATATGTAATTGACTGCTACAAGACATTGTTGATTTTGTTGAAAAGCAGTGGGCATCGCATATTAGTGAGTAATATCCGCGAGAAAGTAAACGACCACTCGGATGGCCTCTGAAGAGGTGGTACAAATAACGTCCCATATTAATGAGTAGTACCCGTGAGAAAGTAAACGATCACTCGGATAGCCTCTGAAGAGGTAGTGCACATAACGTCCCATATTAGTGAGTAGTACGAGCGAGAAAGTAAACGACCACTCGGATAGCCTCTGAAAAGATGTTGCATATGCAAAATTTAAAAGAGAACATATTAGTGGCGCACAACTCAGACAAAAAAGCCTGACGCAGTTTTTGCACCTTAGATGTGGATGAATTTCAATTCCATCGAATCCACGGACTTTCCGTTGGATGTTTTGATATATTTCACTTTTTTTTTTTTTGGTTAAAAAGGCGATTTATTTTAAAATCAACTAATAGCGAGTAATGTTACCAGTAAATTGCGAAAAAAGTTTGTGTTGAGTAGTCAGACTATATTCCCCTTCTGTTATTTAGATTATGAGGAAATGAATTAGGCTTTTGGTCCCATCTGGACGGGTACAATACAAATTGCGCGCGAACAGTACAATCTGTAAAATGTAATTTTTTCCCTCATTCGTTCCTCCGGGAAGGAATGCTGATGGTATTGTATTTCTCTTCGAAATTTGCATATTTTTCTAGTTTCCTGATTTAGGCTCTTCATAGCACTAATCACTCTTACTGATGTAGCTTTGCAAATTTTAATGGTACAGAAACTTCCCCGGGTACTGAGATTTTTGAGGAATAATGCCGAAGCGAATTTAATGATAAAAATATTCATATTTGGAATGAATGAATGGAACAAATGGATCGTAGTGAGACGGTAAAAAGAGGAAATGAAGTAGATTGTAAAACGCATATGTGTAATATGCAGAATTAAGAAGATGTAAGGAGGACATGTATGGGAGCTAAATGTGAAACTGCCCTAGTAATTTTTGTGGAAAATTTCTTGGATCCCCAATTACAAGCAGTGATCGGTGCGTTAAATTTTAATATTCATCTAACTAGAGCCGTTCACAGTTCCAGGTGCAGCAGATCCATCCACAGCAGCCGCAGCAGCAGCAGCAACCGCAACAGATCCAATATACTGTGACGCCAAATGGACAGATGATGGTGGGCCAGCATGTGCAGCAGCAGCAGCAATTGCTTACTCCCTATACAACAGTGCCTCCACGAGCCTGAAAATGCTCGGGGAATTAGTCCGTTTTCTCATTTAAAAGAAAAATAAATCGTGTTTTTTAGCAGTTGTTTTTCTTTTTTTTTTTGCATTCAAAGAATAAAATATGCAGAAACTGTTTTTTTTTTCTTTCTTTGGTTGTGAGAGACTGCTAGAGTAGAGAGGAATAAAGAAATAGCGAAAAATTAGCCAAAATAGAGTTCTTTGGGGGTTTTCCTCGCATATTTTGTAATAAAATGGCCTCAGGCCTATCGAGGGAAGAGAAAAGAAGTTCTAAATTAGTAGTTTGAGCGATCAGCGGACTGTTGTTATCAGGTTCCACTTGCAGAACGTGTTCGTGATCCCAGGGCAATAGTTTTTTGTATTAATTTTGAGGAGTGTTGTAGCAACTACTACATGTTCAGGGCATGTACCCGGTCCTGGATGGGATTGGGGGTGGTCGTTGAGATTGTTGTTTTTTTTGCAAAAATGCCCCGTAGCCATGGGATGAGCTTCATCACCAAAGCAAGCAATTTATTAAAATTATTCGCCATCTCTAAGGGGAGGGGGGGGAGGGGTGGAGGAGGAAGGGGCGGGGGGCGATTTTAATTGTACTGAAATCATTGTTCATTCACTTTTTTTTCTCTTCATACATCTGTGAATTGTTCGTATAGTTTTTCGCATTTGTGTGAATTCAGACAGATTTTTGTTCCTAAACAAGCTGGGCAGCCTAAAAATCCAGCTTCTCGCTCTCTTCTGACAACATCCTGTAGAAATCGAAGTTCTGCCTCGTCCCAGCTAAGCTACTCGGCTAATTTCTTAAGCTTT